CGCAGGTTGAGGAGAGCTGCTGGTTATTTCGTAATAAGTAACAATTCCGAGCCTATTTTTAACGCGTTTTGTATCGTTGTCTTGGACGCCCATCCCTAATGTCTCTCAGCTAATTTCTTACCCCAATTTTACTTCTGAGCTAATTCACCCTATAATAAATATCTTTTTATCGGCATATATTGAGTCATAAGACAATTGTGTTGGGCAGCTGTAATGGCGCAAGAGACTTGTGGAGGTAGTTAAAGCTCCATTTGATTTTCTTTTCATTTTCTATATATTTCAATTCTTTTCAACAAATCTCTTTTTTTTTTCTTGTCAATTTTCAATCTAAGGAATTATTTTATCATTATCAAGGACAAGAGAAAATTAACTATGACGTAACATAGAATATGGACAACAGATTTAAATTAGTGATGGGTTGCAGAAACAGAGAAACTCTTTGTTTTGCATTCTTCCATATATTTAGGGCTTCTACTTTCAAAAATAGATGCATTAAATTTCACAGTAAACAAGTATTTCTAGTGATAACTTTTATAATGTGAGTTGTTAATACCGAAAACTCATAGTAGTAGTAATATGTTTTTTTTTTTTTTTGACACCAGTAGTAGTAATATGTTTGTTGGTGGGATTCTTCAATAGTTATAAGAATAGTATAATTTGTAGTGTGGAAATAATTGCAACACGGTTCCAAAGACATTGGATCGGGCCAAAATATATATAGTATATATATTTCGAGCTGTAATAACTTTAGGTACTTTTCATTATTGTAAGAACACAACATTAATATAAAGCATCCACAAATAATTAATCCTATATATTCATTCACGAACAAACAAAAGCTTATATATTAAAAAAAAAAAGTTTATATGTATTCGATTAGTTAGTATCTGAATTGTATATGTCTACCATATAGAATTTTTTTTAAATCATCTTTAAGAGATACATAAACAAATTAAGACTAATATAAAAACTAGATTCGATATTAAGATTTATTTTTTATAACTACAAAAAACAAAATTGAAACATTGACTGATCACTAGGTTTCATACAAATGATCCGGATTTTCTTGTCACAGAAGATGTTTACGGGTGATTAAGATGTGAAATGCAAGATTTTTTCTGAAACATCGGAAAGGAATCGATTTCTAACTTAGACATAGAGCTAAGTTTGATATTAAAATTTTAAAAGTCAAATACATATATAACAATCAAGTATGTAAAAACAAACAATCAAGTAAAACTTAACTAAATTCTAATTTATTTGAAATTTAAATGTATATTTACTAAAACGTGAATCTAAACCGAAACCAAATTCTTGTCAAACCATCCATACTAACTTAGTTTTATTTTGGTTACTATATCCATAAACTAAAAAATTCTGAAAACCAAAATATTTGAACTGAGAACGTGATTAATTACTATTAACAATATTCAACCATCTATACTAGTATTTTTGAAGTACATTTGTTAGCGGGTGAGTTAAATTGCTATTCATTAAATTTGGTATCCGACCCGATAAGAAAATTCTTTCATAAATCTTACGCCAGATAGTTTATATCTTTTTTGGATCGGGTCAAAACATATCCGAAATTATAAACCGGATATTCCATATTTAAAAATATAGATATTTAGAAGATTTAGTTAAGATTTAGAAATACAATTCTCATATCATCTTTGTTTGAACATTATTTAACTATTTTGAATTATCATATAAAACATAAAGTTTAAAAAAAAAATCTCAATTTTTTTCTACATATATTGGGATTGGAAATTTTTAAAATGTATATATATTACCTAATTGATGAAAAAAGTGTGTGTTCAACATCCCATATCGGCTAAAATGTTTAGATATTGATTCAGAATCATATTATAAATAAGATCCAAATGAATCCAAATCCGAATGAACAAGAAGCTCAACTTAATAAGCATCCAAATTTAAAATTATACACCGTTTCATTCTTTTTTTTTAACTACCTAATATTACTGGAAATATTAAATTTTAAAAGTTTTAAATAATATAATTCATATATTTAAAATCAATAAAAAAAGTTTATAATATTATGAACATTTGAACATATATAAAGAGTTACAATAACATGAGACGGGTTATATTGGTAGACAAGGTTATATAACGGGATGAGTTTTTAAGAAGTTTTAAATATTATAATTTATATATTTAAAATCAATAAAAAAAAGTTTATAATATAAGAACATTTGAACATATATAAACAGTTAAAATAACATGGAACGGTTATATTGCAGGACGAGGTTATATAGCAGGACGGAATTATATGACGGGACGAGTTTGAGTAAAAAAAAATAAAACATCATTAACCCGCTGCTTCAATACGGTTAAATCTTCATTTTCTTTTTTTAATACCACCAATATTAGAAATATCGAATGATCACGATTAAAGTAAATTGTATAAAACAAAAATTATCTTGGGGTATAACGTTACTTAATAACAATTGTAAACTATAAAAAGATAAATGTCTTATAAAAAGATACAATTTGCAAAAACATTTAGATAATATATAACCATTAAATATAAAAAATCACTAATTTTAAAAACAAATCGTTCCGCGATATACCGCGAATTAAAAACTAGTAAATTAGTATTTTCTATGTATATGATATTTTTTAAAAATAAAATAAATATATATATATAAATATATATATATATATATCATGGTAGCATAGGATCCAACACCTACTTATATACATTAAAAACCGGCTACTTTACTAAAATTCTATTAAACAAACTGTTTATTATATTTCAAGTGGATGTATAAAGATTCATCTATTTTTTTTGTATTAATAATTGTTTTTCATATATATATATATTGGTTTGACTTGTCACTTTTTGTCAAGCGGCTCAAGCCATAGGCTCCTAATTAACAAATGTATTAGAAAATGCGTTTTAATTTGTTCTTAGATCCCATGACGCATTATAGTGATCATTTTGATTAATTTATTCTCTTTTAGTTGAAATTCGTTAAGTATATTTTTTGGTTCTTTCACCAAGAAAATAAATATCAGGATGCTTTGAAATACATTTATCTTATAGTGCTATTTTATTGCCACAACTTGAAAGTAAAATTTCTTATAATTTAATACAGTAAAGAATAAATTTTATACAAATAAACATCTAAAAATAAATTAAACCTCTCTTGGATAGAACACATAGTTTTTTTTTTATAGAACATATAGTTATAAATTTTTTAATATCTTAGATTAATTTTAGCAATTTAAGGGTATGTACATAACCTCGAAACCTTAATTAGTCTTTTCCAAAAAACTTAAGACACATCAAATATACATTTAATAAATTCATAAATAATCTTTAGATAGTTTAATTTAGTATTTATTATTAGTTCAGCTCCAATCCATCTCAAAATCTTTTTTCTTTTTGTCCATCTCAAAATCTTCATTGATCACTTGTTTCAACTGTTCATATGCTTATCGTTTTTAAGATATTTCGTCTCTAATATAGACTTAGAATTAGTCATCAAAATCATTAGATTTAAACATCTTGAAATCGTATTTAAAACCCACTGAAATATTTATCCTCATAACTTATCAAATTATATTTTGTCCATGTATGTAAAATGCTATATTTATTTTCTTGCTTCTATGCAAAAAAAAAAAAAAAAAAAAAAAAGAGGCACAGCTATGTTGTTATTCAAATATAGACTCCACTACTCTTCGTAAGATATTTTTAAGAAATGGTTGGCTTCACAAAAAGTCGTCATATTTTACATTTTTATGTGTACATAGTGAAAGCTATATGATATTTTATAGTATGAGAAAAGTCTTGGAAATGACGCAAGAAAGTTCACTTCAGAAGGTTGATATAGAAAGAAGAAAAAGAACTGATTATTGGTATTACTTTTTGGGTCAAAAGAAAAGATATGAATCAACTCTTCTTTTGTTCTGTCTACAATTTTATTCACTTTTTCGTTAGATACATTTTTATATTTCTACATGTTATTATAAGATTATTGTAAAGCTTCTTTATCTAAATGATATCATGACTTATAGACGCTATACCAGGTTTATTGTGTATAATCAATGTGAATTCTCTTGACACAAAAGATTTCTAAACTCTCAATATCTCTGATTGATGTAAATGTACGTAATAAAAAAAAAACATATTTGTGATATTGAAGTAGGCTTTTATCACAAAGAAATTGATAACATATATGATTGGTAGATTCTATGTGAGTAGCATGAAACATTTCCGTGTAATTAACGAACTGAATTACTACTAATTTAGTTCTAGTTCAAGTAGAAAGTCAATGTTTCTAACCATTAAAATGTCTACAATGATTCTTATCAAATAAAAATGTCTACAATGATTTACCTGAAATGAAAACTTTTTTTTTTTGGACATCGAAAATGATTTTTTTTTTTTTTTCGATTTGCTTGAAGTGATCTTTTTTTTTTGGTTCAACAAAATGCTTAAACTGATCAACATATGTTTTTAAGTTTTAACCGCAAAGTCACAAACTATAGGAAAAGTAGTAGGTCCATGGTCCATTACAATATCATTAACGACCCATTTCAATATCTGCTTAACCAAAGTTTATTGAAGCCCACCGTATAATCAAAAGCTTTCTATGAGTACGGCCCATATCTTGTATCGCTATTTTAACTTCTAACAAAACCCGTATTGGGTCTATAGACCATTTCGTTGGAATTTTCGTTTTGTTAATGCTCTCATATCATTATGGAACTTTTATCCAAACAAGTCCTTAACATTATTCCAAAGCTTTGAGCGGTGATAAACGAAGAATTTAGGGTTAATCAATTAATTGTATAACCACATTATTGAAGGAATCTATGAAAATAGCAATGTCATATGTTAGATTCAATGTTTAAATTAATAACCCACATATGGCGTTGACAACTTTTCATATGAGGTGTTTTTTTTGGTAAGCTCATATATTTAAATCCTTCATAAACAAGATTTGTATTATTATTTTCTTTACTTTATATTTTTATCTGTAAGGCATTTATGTTGAAGACTTTCCATATGAAAAAAAATCAAAAAGAGAACGAGACACATAAGACATAGGAAAATTAAACGTGGAATATAATAAGAGCACTTGAGCATTGTAGTAGAGTAACAAGTTCATAACACAAACTAGAAAACTAGAAAGCAAACGAGAGAGAAGAAAGAGGAAAGATATGTTTCCGTTTCACCCTAGTTGGTGACGCCACATCATCTTGTGTAGTCTTGGATCCAGGGAGATAATGAAAACACAAATCCTCTTCTACGAAACCCTAAAAACCTTAACGCAATGACGAAAGACGTGAACTACCGCCACCACGTAAGCTGACTCGGTTACCGAGTGTTGTGAGAGTGTAAGCCGTGAAGCCGTTGCTCGGTGGCGAGAGAACCACGGGAAGATAATCGTCGGTGTGACAAGTGAACCTCGAGTTCTTGAAATGTTGACTCAGCTCTTCTTTCCCCTATAACAAAAATCAAACACAAAATTGCACAATTTAACAACTATAATTAAGCAACAACAGTGATTAAACCAAGAATAAAAGAGCTTTAAATATAGACTCAAACAGAAAATTGCACTACTTAACTCTAAATCATATCAAAAGCAGAAATAAAGTTTGACACTATATAAGCAACATCCATTGCAAAAAAAAAAACCCCCAGAATTTAATTACTCTAAATAAGCAACAACAGTTATTAAACCAAGAATAAAAAAGAGTCTTATCAAACAAAACAAGAAAATTATAGAGACTCAAACACAAAATTGCAATACTCAAACTCAGAAAAACGTTAACTATAACAAGTAACAACAATTAGAAAACCAAGAATACGAGTCTTTAACAAACAAAACAAGAAAAAAAGAGACTCAAACACAAAATTGCACACTACTCAACTCTAACTCATATAAAAGGAAGAAAAAAACGTTAACTCTAACAACAATTACAAAACCAAAGTCTTTAACAAGCAAAACAATGAAAAAGAGACTCAAACACAAAATTGCACAATTTAACAACTCTAAATAACCGACAACAGACTTATACAAGAATTAGAGAGAGTCTTGAACAAACAAAACAAGAACAAAATAAGAGACTAAAACAAAAAAATTGCACTACTCGACTCTAACTCATATAAAAAGAAGCTAAAAACGTCAACTCTAACAACAATTAAAAACCCAAGAATAAAAGTCTTAAACAAGCAAAACATGAAAAAAAAGAAAGACTCAAACACAAAATTGCACAATTGAACTCTAAATATAAACAACAACAGTTACTAAACCAAGGGTAAGATAGAGTCTTGTAAGTTTAAACCAAAAAGAAACAGGAAATAAAGAGACTTAAACACAAAACTACTACTGAAGTCTAAATAAAAACCAAAACTTTAAACTCTAAATAGGCAACAAATAATAACCAAAGAATCAAGAGAACCCAAACCTGATACTTAGCCACAGTGATTTCACAAATCTTATTCCTGTACCCAAGATTGCCCCAAGAAAAGTTTTCAAATTCTCTCCGGAATCTCTCAGCTGCCACAGAGCTCGTGAAGTTAACGAAGGCGTAACCCAAATTGGCTCGTTTCCTGTTACACATTTAATGTCCATCATCACCAACATTACAAGAAGCATTTATTTCATCCAAAAATAGAGATAAATAAGCATTAACTCACACAAAATCCATAGGCAGATAAAGAAAGTCATAGGAAGATTCTGTCTCGTGTTTCCGACAATGATTGTCCAAAATCCTCAAGAGATCGGTTCGTCTGCAAATTAAAAAAAAATAACAAAATCTTATTTTAATTCATTCATCCCAAAAAATTTATTAAAAAGTTGAGAAGAGAAAAAATCTGACCCGAGACAGTTAGGTATATTCCTAACCATGACGGAAGTTTTTCCGGCGAGCTTATTTTCCGGTAAAGGCACAACCTTTGAGGAAGAAAAGTTATGGTTTTTGTGAACCCAAACTTGTTTCTTCAAAAGCCTTGGAGGGAGACATCTCCGGTGACAAAACTCGTAACGGAAAGGTTCTTTTTCAGACTTAACATCGGCGCCGGTAATAGCTTTGCAAGGCTTGGTGGAATAAGGAAAGGGCTTGTTAAAGTTGAACACAGAAGGACAAGAAGGAGGAGGATAGTACAGATTAGGGTTTTTGGAAAACCTTGGTAAGTATTCCGGTGCGTTTGGGTTCAAAGATTTAATGGGTTTTTTCTTTTCCATTGATGGAAGCTAAAGAAACTGGGGAAACAGTGAGAGAGAGAGGTAAAAGAAGCTTGTGTTAGTGAAACCCTAGAGATGAGAGAGTGAGAGTGACAGTAAAACTAAAAGGGTTTTGAGAAGATAAGCTTGTTGTGGCGTGTCTTGTTGTGGGAGAGATTTGTCGTTTAAGGTGATTGAAAACGTGTCAGGAGAAAAGAAGAAGAAGAATCAGACTAGAAGAGCTTTTTTCAGGCAAGTTTTTAGGTTATTTGTTTCTTTTTTCTTATTTTGTTTTAATGTTTTTGCATTTAATGTCTCTTGTCCCAACACTTAATTTTGCTAAAAAATGGTAGGCTTTTTATGGTCTATTGAGTATTTTTGATCTGGCGGCATGATTGAGAGAGGGAGAAGCAGAGTTTATCCAGTGGGCTATCAATCGTATTGTCGACGAGACATCTTCTGATTTGTACAATTTTATTGGTCATATTGCAATTGCAGGACAAATGTTTAGACATTTTTCTCAGTTGGAATCTCGTTGAAATTTTCAAATTTTTATTATGGTTTAGATGCTTTTATGTTTTAAATATATAATCCAAGTCGAACTCGAAGTCTAGAACCAAACCAAAAGAAAAAAAATTAGTGAAAATTGAATTTTCTCAAGAATATTAGGATAGTTAAGATGATATGGTATGCTTATGAACAATTGTTCCATGTCCATCTATTTCCATGTAAACTACGGATCATGTTCACGTTACAATATCAAACTTTTTTTTGGGTTCAAATTTATATCAAACTAAAGATTGTATTTCATATACTATTTTATAGTGTTAAAGAGTTGGTGAACATATACTATTTTAAAACACTAGTTGTTCTGGTGGAACAGTGGAAGTGAATGTGTCCGTTTGGCGGTCAATCTATTGTTATGCCATAAATGTGTAGTCAGAAAAATGTATTATGGATTAACTAGTTTTAAATAAAGCAATAGCGTTTAAAAGAAATTTGGACTGTTTCTTATAATGATCTTCTGTTCGTGTGATGAATGATGGCGGTGTACTCGTGTTGAGCGGAGTTTAGAGGAAATTCTAGATACTACAAGTGTTGAAACAGTTCTTTTGTATCAGTTTGGATTCAAAATCAGATTTAATTATGGCACTCCTAATTTGTCAGTGACTATAAGAGAAGATTTTAGTTCTTAAGAACAAAAAAAAAAAAAAGAGTTTAGTTCTTCTTCATATATAGCTATGTAATGTGTTATGTACTTATAAATAGAACTGCTCGAGTAAGGTTCTAACTTGTAATAGTGTAGAGAAATAGGTGAAATTGATTTTCAGTCAGTGAAAGAAAAATTTAAGGGAGAAGAGCGAGCTACAGAATTATAGACAAGTGTTTACCAAAAAATTTAAATAGACAACTAAAATTGGCTACAGAATTATAGACAAAGTGTTTACCAAAAATTTTAAATAGACAACTAAAATTGGCATGATATCAAATCACTAAATTTTAACCGTGGTATACCACGAGACGGTTTGTTTTCTAAAAGGTAGTGATTTTTAAAATTTAATGATTATATATAAAAGTTTAAAAATTGTATCATTTTATAAGACATTTATGTTTTATAGTTTACAATTGTTATAAAATACGGTATAACACGGGACAATTTTATCTAAATCAGGTTGATTCAATATGTCTAGTCTAATATTGGTGGTGTTCAAAAATTTTAAAATGACGATTTAACATGTATTGAAGCGGCAAGTTAATAATATTTTAAAATTTTATTAATTTTGATTCAAACCCGTCCCGCCATATAACCTTGTCCCGCAATATAATATGTCCTGTGTTATTTTAATTTTTTCTATGTTCAATGTTCAAAAAATTATAAACTGTTAACTGATTTTAAATAAATTATTTATAATATTTAAAAAAATTTAAGAGTATAAAATTTAATATTTCTGGTAAAATTAAACATTTTAACTAAAAACTCGAATTAAACCGTATACAAAATTTGAAATTTTGATGCTTGTTAAGTTAAATTTTCTGCTCATTCGAATTTGAATTCATTTTGATATTATTTATAATATGACTCTGAATCATTGTCTGAACATTTTAGCCGAGGTATGTAAAAATTTCGAACCACAATATATGTAAAAAATATATTTTGAGATTTTTCTTAACTTTATATATTATATGATTATTCAAAACACTTAAAAAATCAAATAAAGATGATTGGAGAATCATAATTTCAAATCTTCTAACTACTTATATTATTAAATATAGAATATTATATGGATATTTTTTATATTTTAATCATTACAGATGCAAAGAATATATCATAGATGTTTTCAAGAATTAGTATAGATATCCGGTTCACAATTTAGGATATGTTTTGATCCGATCCAAGTACAAAATATATTTCAAAAATACTAATATAGATATGATCATATGTCAAAAATATTTAATTCAAGTTGTATACATGTTATCCTCGATAATATTTTCATCCTCCTTTTTGTAGAAATAACTCATAAAAGTGTTTAATCTGGTTTTTGTATCAGATTTGATTCAAACTTTTTATTTTCAGGTTTAATAGAGTGGTAACAAACCAAATTTAAAAGTAATCAATTTGGTACAATTTTAATTTCAGTTTTCGTTAAAATCTAGTTTGCCCAAAAAAAAAAAAAAGATTCCACCTTTTTATCTTCTATTTTCTTTAGAAATTAATTCTATTATTCATATAATGAGAACAAATAAATAAAACAAATTAATATTTTGTTGCACTTTATTTATGCATTACTCTTTCTGGTTCTTCAAATTTATTTTTCAATGATTCTTCTTCAATTTAATGACACTAAATAATGTAATGACAATCATTTTTAATTATTAGAAAATTCAATTTAACGAGAGTGACAGAGTGAAAATATACAAGTAAGTTAAATAATGTTTTGTTTTATAAAATTAAATATTTCTAAGGATAATTTTTTGAAAACAATTCTAAGGACCAAGTGTATATATAACAAACAGAAAAAAAAAAAAAGCGAAAGGATAACATACAAGGAAAAGTAAGAGTAGAATTTTTAGAAGAAGACAAGAAAACAAAAGCAATTTGTTTCTCAGACGCAGAGATGTATGTACCTTCTGTCTTGTCTCTTTAGGTTCTGTTTTGTCTTATTTTATGATAACTTTCTTTGTTCATTAAAATTTGTATTTGTGAATTTAAGTCGCTTTGCTCATGTGAAAGATAAAAGAAAATTCGGAGGCAGAGAGATAGAGAGGCAGAGTCCCAAGAAAAATTTGATCAGAAGAACTTTATCAGAAAAGCTTTGATTTAAAGCTCATTTTTGCTTCTATTTTGCCACTGAGGTTTGAATTGTTTTTTGCATGTTCTTAGCTAAAGTCAATGTACATATTTGACTTCTCTTTTTACTTCTGATAAATCGTTTTGACGTAACTAAACAGTAATTGAGTTTTTCTTTTTGTTTATTCAAGTATATATTCTTATATCAAAATCTGACTCCTGATTTCATTATAAAACATACTACAACGTAGTGAAAACAATTATTTTGGTAAAACATACTGTAGCAATTTATAAGAAGTCTTCAAATGATTCTTAACTAACTAAGTTTTAAACAAGTGGCATGAAATGAAGCCATCATGAAACATAAAACGTGTCACAAAATACGTTAGTCGATCTTCTAAAATACGTAAGTTGTAATTATTAATATGAGTATCATCATGAAACATAAAACGTGTACTCATATAGATATTAGGTGAATAAGTAAAATAAATAAAAAAGGGTAGGCAAAAAGAGGTGATGATAACCTATGAAGACAAACGTGAGAAGTCTGAGTACAAGTATGGGTTGATAGATTTGATAGAAGATTAGAGACGTGAAAAGTCTTCCCTTGTTTTGGGTATCATTACCTTTATATGTAGCTATTGGAAACACAAAAAAATAATCTCTAGTTCTATTTACATAAAATTTTGTTATTAATTTTGGTATTAAACCAAACGACAATATAAGGCTGCTTTGCTCTGTTTCACTTTTTCGATAACTATAATAAAAACTTGCCATTACATGACACTGTAGAAGTATAAGTTGCACCGACTAAAAATTTTTGAAAGTGATTTTAAGAAAACACTTTTTGGCGGTTGAATGATGATTTTTACAGATTAATTTTCAGATGACATGATTAAATGGGGTTTTCAAGATAAGGAGTAAGGTAAATTTACAGTTTTTGTCTTATTCCTGCAGGGTTTCATGTTCCCCAAGAAAAAAGCAAGTTCTTTTTTTTAGGATAAAATTTTTGATTCTTCCTTTTATTAGTTGTATCATAATTAAAATAATATTACCATGTATTTGTAGTAGGTGACGACTACCTAAACATTATACATATTAGGCCATATGCATCGGTGAAAATGGGCTATGTTCTTAGAATATTTTAATAATAAAAATTGGGCTTCTAAGACTAAGAACTGAGGAAATGGTCTTGGGCTAGAGCTGTTCCTGGGCTGTTCTCGGCGACACGTGTCAAGCGTTCATTGGTGTGAATTTTTGATATCGAAAACATTATTCAGTTGGGCCAAAATCGAAAAGAGGCTAGGGTTTTCGAAAAGAGGCTAGGCAACATTTTGCGACTAATCCGTAATGAGATTAACTACGAACTCGATCACTCGCCTCCTCTTCAGGTATTTTACGAATCTTTTTTTTCTTTTCTGGTGATTAGTCAATACGATGATAAAGCTAGTGTTATAGATAAATTAGATCCATCTGACTATGAAGTTATTCTTAAAGGAGGCGAACAAGTTACCTCTGTTCTTGAAAAAATGATAACCCTCGTATGTGTTTTCGCGTTACGTTTCATGATTCCCATCTCATTTTTTGCTTTTTGTTTCGTTTCTTTAAGTGTGACATTTCGTCGAACAACTTATAGGCGCTTTTTGTTTCGTTTCTTTAAGCTTGACATTTCGTCGAACAACTTATAGGCATTATGGTTTTATGATACTTAGAATCGTTTACTTGTTAGTTTTGTGAGTTCTTGGTTTCTGTAATGGTTTTATATGTGAATGAATGTCTCTGATGTGTAGTTGGAAGCTTGACATTTCGTAGAACAACTTATAGGCAAAAGGGTTTTATACATAGAATCGTTTTACTTGTTAGTTTTGTGAATTCTTGGTTTCTGTAATGGCTTGATATGTGAATGAATGTCTCTGATGTGTAGTTGGAAGATATGAATATGAATGAAGCATCTGAGAATGTTGCTGTTGAATTAGCTGCACAAGGAGTTATAGGGAAAAGAGTTGATGAAATGGAATCATGGTTTATGATGGCTCTTGATTATATGATCCAACTCGCTGACAAAGATCAAGATGATAAGGTAAAGATTGCTTAATACATCTTGCAATAATCTTTTGCCATTAGTTCTGTAACATAAGCTGAGAAAATGATTAAAGAATTTGACTTTTTGTTTTGGGTTCAGAGGAAGTCTTTACTTGAGGTTGTCAAGGAGACTGTCTTATCTCATCTTACGAAAAAATGCCCTCCTCATGTGAGTAATATTAAGATCAGTTTCTTTGTATTTTCAAGACTTATGCCCTCCTCATGTGAGTAATATTAAGATTACTATGGAAACAAGGCCAATTATTCCGGATCGAAAACTACTAGCAAGGCTTGTTTTAATCAGAGAGGAAGCAAGAAACATGATGGGAAGAGGTATACTTGATGAGAGAAATGATCGAGGTTTCACTACGCTGCCTGAATCAGAGGTTTTGTGTGACAAACTATTATCTCCATTACACTGTGTTTATGAACGTAATTAAAACGTTGAGATACAATGACTTGTTGCATGATCGTCGAATAGGTGAATTTCTTAACCAAATTGGTAGCTCTCAAACCTGGAAAGACTGTGCACCAAATGATTCAGAATGTAATGCAAGGAAAATATAAGTTTGAAATTGTATTTTGTGTTTCTTTTTATTTTCATATCAAATTTAGTATAAGTTTAGTTTTGTAATGTTTTCAATTTTAATAACTATTTTTTTTTAATTTTAGAAAAAACATTTAATGTTTTTGATTATTATATTATTATTTTCTATGTTCTAAACATGTTCTACCAATAATCACTTAGTTTACAAAAGTTCTTATTTAAAGCTCTTAGAATGTTTTAAGATTATTTTACACCTAAGATCAATCTTCAAAGTTACATGGATGCATATGCCCTTTTTTTTTTTTTTTTCGTCTGAATTATTCCATTATATTATACGATTGAAGGTTACAAGGGTGGGATGCGGTTTTAGTACACAAAGCCGGCAAGAGATAAACTCTTCCAGAGACATAAGCTGGCGAGTACAAGAACACTCCCAGAGACAAAGACCAAACAAGGTAAACAAAGGGGAAAAAACCCAAACAAATCAACTACAACCATAAATACTTCCCGGATCAGAATCTAGAAACCCAAAAAAAGACTTACAAAACCTAAACTTTAGAAAATTTAATCAAATCTGAGATTAAGAAAAACACACAAACGGGATAAAATACAAGAATCTCCTTTACCACAAGTTGGAACTGATTGAAAGTGCCGTGCGACCCTCTTTATAAAGCTCCAGAGAGGAGCCACGGAGGCGGTGAGACACATCCAAAATCTAGAGACTCAAGGATCGTCTCTTGAAGAAAGGAAGAAGATCTAGATCTACGATGGTGAATTTTCTTCATCTGAGGCAGTGAAGAACCGGTTGAAAACTGCCTCTGCCAAGGAAGGATACGGCCAGATCAGAAGCTGAGATTACAAGAACACAAAGATGAAAAGATTTAAGCTTCAAAAACCTAGATCTGGAAAACTAGAATTGATTCCGTTGGAAGAAATTCATGGAAGCACTAAAGAAAAGAGATAAAACAAGACTAGTAAAAGGAGGTTCTCCAGCTCCAGTGCTATGGAAGCCACTGGAACCAGAGATCAAACGGACGTTCCTTTTGTTTTTAGAGAGAAGGGAGAGAGTTATTGATTTTTTTTAGAGAGAAGGGGTGGCGTGTGGATGCATATGCCCTTAGGTGATACAAAATGGTGAATATTACAAAGAAAATAACTGTCATGTCAGTTGTTATTAAAGCTTAGGTATGATGAATGTACAATTTGCTTAAGTTTTGTCATGTAAAGTAGAATTGTTGAGAAATTTTATTTTCAATAAACAGTTTGGGCCAAATGCAGGGAATTCTAAACTTGTACAAATAGTGTTAAGTAAAATAGTAAATTTTGTTAACTTTATAAGTAAATGTTATGTATATCACACGATCTTGAGGTTTGTTTTAACGCAGAAACTAGAATGGTTTGGATTTAATTTTAGAAATGTCACCACCCATATGCCCAAGTCCTTTAAGACACTTGAAGATTCGGATATGTATTCGCTATCCCTTGCTAGTTTAGAGGTTTTTGAAATTGGAGAAACACTGTAATTCATGAACTAGTGTTAGTGTCGTTACTATGGAACCCCTCTTAACACATGATTCTCTCATGGTTGAGGAATGTATTGTCGCAACGAACTTTGTGATCATCGAACATTTTGTGTTGCCATTACAAAATGAAGCAAAAGGAGTCCCAGTGGATATATCAAAACAGTTTGTTTAATTTTGAAAATCCAAACTTATAGTAGTTGTGTTAATGGTGCTAATTGCTAGATAACATCAGCGTCCACCAGAAGGTGCTTCAAGAAATCTTTGGTTCATAGTTTTCTTCGGACCAGTCCTTTGAAAAAATCAAAACTGTAGTTGAACAGACACCATATTAGCTTAAACATGAACTAACTCGATAAAACTTTCGATAATACATGCTTAAAATATTACCTATTGCCATCAGGATGAAGCTCATACATTACATTGTCATCTCCCATAGCTAGCAAATATCCCGAAGAAGTCAAACCCTGGAAATTTTAAGGAGATGCAATGAGGATCAAAGCACCTTATTACAATGAGTCGATTGTATAATAACCAATCCATAAGAATCATCCTACCTGGATAGTCACAACATTTTGAACAACTTGGTCCTCGTTTTTTTCTTCAACAATCACTCTTTGTCCGCTGCGCATGTGTAAGTAAATACATGGTAAAGTTTGTATCCCCAAATCTCAATGTGAATGTATTAAGAAAAAACACTAATGCCACCAGACAATAAAAACTACGCCGTTAGCAGTGTGAATAGTTGGTAAGTAACCAGTCGTCTTCTTAACTTTAAGAGATCTTAGTTTCTTGCAGGCAAATGCCACATTGTATATTAAAGCATACAAATGAGAATAAAACGGTCATTTTAGCCAAGCAATTATGTTATAATACATAGTTCCCAATCGAAAAACATTTCCAAATACTTGCTAATTGATGAAGTTTTGCCATTTAGTTTCAGCTAGTGACATATGGGATAAGCATAAAATCAAAACCAGTTCATATTCAGATTACAGAAACCCTTCACTGACAAGCACACAGAAATTGCCATCGAAGACATAACCGTTACCTGTGAAGCCATGTCTTATAGTAAAGCTCCTCGAGAGATTTAAAACCTGTAAAGTGCAGTGCGATGATGTCAAATGATTATATAGTCTCAAAACTAGATAATAAGATGATTATTTCTCTTACTCTCATCTCACTTAAATAAGTGATTAATAAATACTGTTTGGAAGATACTTCAGAAGTGACAAAGATGAAGAAACAGCTGACTAAAGATGAAGAGGATTACATTACCTTGTTTCATGAATAGATCAAAGAATGTTTCGAATTTGTGAAAGAAGGCACCAAGAATTTCTTCTCTTTTAAGTAGGTTTGATGCAGGACAACTGTCTTTTAGTACTGCATTTAAGCACGTGGTCGGTTGCTCGTTGTCCACATTCAATCCCACACCTGCAATAAGGATCGGTTTTGCCAATTTCTTTAAAATCAAATAGAACAAGACAACGAGCAGTGTCACTTCTAAAAGATGCTTCTACTTTCGTATAGAGTCACCAACTTCTAACGAGTAGTAATGCTTATTACCAACACTGACATGGAACTTCCTTGATCCGTATGTGGAGGTACACAAAATGCCTCCAACCTTAAGGCCATTCAAATATAGATCATTTGGCCACTTTATTTTAACATCAATATACGACAAACCCTGAAAATCGATGAAATTCAAAACTCAGACCAAATTTATGATTCAAGGGATCAAAAACACAACAAAAAGGTTATTTCAAGAACATACCTTCTTGTCACAAACATCTTTCACTGCCTCAGTAACAGCAAGAGACACCACATACTGTATCAAAGGCACTACTCGACCATCTTCCATTTCTACGGTAAACGAATACATAAGACAACCTTTTGGAGATTCCCAAACATTCTTTGTTCTGCCTGCAACACATTCCGGTTTTCACTTTCTAATTCTAATTTACTTGCTTACTATATATAATCCAACATTGTCAAGAAAAAACTCGTACCTCGACCTTTAAACTGAATATCTGTGACACACACTGAACCAACTGGAATCTCAGAGAAGTTACTAAAAGAAACTACAAAATCAGATTTTAACACACAAAGATAATCAAACCTTAAAGAGGAAACCAAACAGATGGATGCTTACTGAGAAACAACATCATGAGTGGAAGACAAGAATGGAGACCAAATGAGAAACCGACCAAACCGATGAGTCGAAATCGAGTTCATGAATAGTGAAAGATTGAAGGAATCATCATCTTTAACCAAATTCTTGATCTCAGATTGTAAAAAGATTGAAACTTTGGTATTATCTGGGAGTTTAAGAACGTTATTGTTCTTCAAACGTGTTGCTGCATCAGTTTCTACAGAAGATTTACCACATAAAACCAAGCTACACGAAGCATCAAAGTCCATGGCTGAATCAAAACAAAACACGAAAAGTTTCAAAATTTAAACTAGAAATAATGATTACATTTCTGGCATCAGAATCAATTAGAACATTAACTTAAACAATGAAATCACATCCAGAGATTCGCTACGAAAAAGGAAAAATATGATACAAATTCCCAATTTTAACAAGAAGGGATTTTTCAGAAATCGAAGACTCTTGAGGCCAAAAGGCAAAAGCTAACCTCTTTCACCAAATCTCAGTGTAGACACTAGATAGACCCGTGAATGTGAAAAGAGAGCAATGACAACGACACTGTTCAACAACGCAGATATAAACCGGACCGGGTCGGTTTTACCGGTTAAACCGTCACTCATTTGCCACTCCGGTCTGATTTAACATAAGAACCGGATGAGAAAATCTATGAGGCGCGAGAATCCTTGTGTAACAGCATAGAGATGAAAAAAGTATCGACATTGCTCATCGGTCCAATTCTAAAGTGCAACCATCATCAACCACTAAGCTAGCTAGCAGAAAAACAGTCACAAAATAAATAAAAACTATTGATAAAGGAACTTACATCATTAGTCATCCTTGTTGATTAACAGTGATTTTTAATAAAACCTGAAAAGACAAAAAGAAAAAAAAAACCAGAAGTGTCAAGTAAAAAAAAATGATACGATTTAACATGATCTTCTAGATGCAAAAGGGAAAATTAGAGAAATTACTTCGACTTTGGCTGGAGGAGTAGAGGTTTCCGGTGGTGGATCTTCGGCTTGGAGTGATGATTCCGGCAGAGAAAGAGGAAGTTCCGGTGGATTTTGTACTGTGACGAATCGGAGAAAGTATGTGACGAATCGGAGAAAGTTTCTCTTTTGCCTCCGACCACGTATCTGTGATGGGGGAGTAAACAGTTTACTCCCTAGGGCAACGAATTTGGTAATTATTAACAAAACATAAGGGCATTTTTGTCATTTTACGCTTTTAGTCGCACCAATCCATCGCTAATTTATCTTGTGATAAAAAATTTCAGTCGCAGATCGCCGCGATTGACCGCAGCGTTTAGTCGCAGGTCTCTGCGACTGCCAAACGAACAAAAACCAGTCGCAATCGCAGGAGACCTGCGACTACCAAACGAACAGCCCCTCGGTAGCCCAAACTTTGTTACTGGGTCCACGTCCAATATAGTTGAAGCTCAAATTTGCATTACAAAACAAAAATTAATTTTCCACAAAAGTAAGCTAAATTTTTTAGATTTTTTTTTTCGGCAACTCTCATTGATTATAAGCCCACATGGGCGAAAGTACAAGAGATATACAAGGAGATTTACGGAGCCCAACAACCAAAATACAAAGCCCAAACATAAACCCAATAAAAGATACAGCAAAACACAAATAAGGTTTAGAAAGGGACACGTGTTGGACACGTGTTATTTCGTGATGTTGGGGTGGAAAGAAACTGACACATCCCTGCCTTTCCACCGGAGCTGAGAAACCGATCAAAATCAGATTTTCCGGCGAGCAAATTCGCCTATTCCGCCCCATGATCCATCGATCTTCAGCTTCTTGCTCCGAAATCACCACTTTCCTCCTGCAGCTACATCCCAGTGTGAAGAGTCAAAGCTCCATGAATCTTCAGATCTATGATGCACCGGAAAACGTGAAATGGCTAGATGTCAGATTAGTCGCAAAACTTTGCTCTCCTAATCTGTTCTTCACCCTCCACTGAAATCCTCCCAACACGATTCTCAAACCTAAGAAGAAACCATCACCCAAAGCTGATTACAGCCACCAATAGGGGGATGAGGATTTACTCTTCTCTTGAATTGAATCGAGCACTCCGGTAATTCCTAAGCTTTGAAAAAAACACTCGGCTTTTATCTCCTCTTAACCATAAGGAGATCTGATGATTTCTGCAAAAGGATAAAAGAGAAACACAAAAAAGGAAAATAGCCACAAAGGCTAAGATAGAACTCGCACTTAGGCGAGAGAGAGAAGCCGGACTTAACCGGAGATAAAATTCCGACATCAACTTGCCGGAAAACAAAAAACGAAAACTTTCTTTCTCTGAAAGATTTTAGAGAGATAAGAGAGAGAAAGTTTTGTATGCTGCTAAATTTTTTAGTTTATATAACAAACTACTCCAACTTATATTTAAAAAATCAGTCTATAACTATATAAAAACTGGCTGAAAAGATCAGAGTTTTTATAATCTATAATCAATCAAACATGTTACAAGAACCTATTATAATTGTCATTAGTTTGTTTTAGATAATTTTAAATTCCAAAAGGGAATCTTTCCAAATCTACCACATTTCGAAATGTGGCATTCCAAATCTACCACATTTGGGAAAAGCTTTCCAAATGTACCACATTTTGTTGCCACATGCCTAAAGCCGGACGAAATTGCCCTTGATGGAGAGAGAAGTGTGTGTCAGAGAAAGGGACAACTTGGGACAAGAGGGGGCAGTCTGCATTTAATGCTGCACGTTTACAATTGTTCTCTTAATATATTAGATAATATTAAATTAAAATCGGGGACAAGTTCATATGGAATGAGTAATATAATTAGATCGGGGACAAGTTCAGATCGAATGAGTAATATAATTATATCGGGAACAAGTTCATATGGAATGAGTAATATAATTAGATCGGGGACAAGTTCAGATCGAATGAGTAATATAATTAGATCGGGGACAAGTTCAGATCGAATGAGTAATAGAATTAGATCGGGGATAAGTTCATATTGAATAAGTAATAGAATTAGATCAAGGACAAGTTCATATCGAATGAGTAATAAAAGTAGATCATGGACAAGTTCAGATCGAATGAGTAATATAATTATATCGGGGACAATTTCATATGGAATGAGTAATATAATTAGATTGGGGACAAGTTCATATCGAATGAGTACCAGAATTAGATCGAGGACAAGTTCAGATCAAATGAGTAATAAAATTAGATCGGGGACAAGTTCATATGAGAAGAAACCCAGATCTAAATGTGTAGCCGATTTAACGTCGTGGACCAAAACTATATAATTGATAAACTATTTTCAAACCCAGATTTAAATTTTGAATGAGTAATATCGAATGAGTACCAGAATTAGATCGAGGACAAGTTCAGATCAAATGAGTAATAGAATTAGATCGGGGACAACTGGATCTTTCTGTTATTCCGCAATAGAAGAAAAAAAGTTCAATAATCCGGGTAGGTGAAGACCAAAATAGATGATGTGAAATCTATAGACCAAAATAGTGCTCAACTAATCTGTAGACCAAAATAGATGATGTGAAATCTATATAAAATTCAAAACTTTTAAACGAGAACGATGGGTGGACAAGATGTGAGATTCATGATAATAGAGCAGGATGATGAAATCGGGGACAAGATCTAGACGCAACAGAGAATTTCCAATCGAAGACAAGATCTCGAGACAAAAACGAAATTTAATTGTTTAGTCTCATGAGAGATAATGTTTCTCTGTTAAAGCGCACGTGTCTCGAGGGATGAGAGATAAATAGGAAAGCAAAACAGTTAAGAGAAGTCAAATCGTTGCATCGTAGAGCGCGAAAACTGCCCCAACAAGGAAGGGTAAAATCGTAACTCCACGGACCAAATGTGGTAGGATTGGAAAGGAGTTTCCAAATGTGGTACATTTGGAAAGATTTTGGGAAAATGTGGTACATCTCTTAGTTTTTCCATTCCAAAACCAATATCTTACATAAATACTATAAAATGGTGTTCTTAACAATTAAAACTTTATATGTTAAGTTTAATAAAGTCTACTAACAAAATCATTGATATTTGGCATAATAAATCATCTAAAGTTGCTAACAATTTAAATATGATTATGACCTCGTTATATATTTTTTTTACAGCAAAATAAGATCATTCATTTAAGCTAGAAACGGACGGTTTTCTACGGGATAAAACCAGTCCGGTGTTTAGGAGCTTACATAGAAAAAAATAAATTCGCGTGCTCTTGCATTTTTAACGAGACAATCGACACGGACGTTATTTAAACGTGGAATAAAATCTAAGAAAAATCGAGGAAAACCAAGTTTTAAAACATTAAAATCTTTTAACTCCGAAGCAAAAGCGGGCCACTCATCTGGAGTGTCCGAAAGCTAAGTCAGCTCGTTGCAATCTGTCTCAAAGGCAACATTAAAAATGGATAATGACGTGAGGGATCTCATTACCTAGAGAAACGCTTCAAACTCTGTGTGAAGTGGGGATAAACATTGTCAAAGACACTTGACTCAAAGATTAATAAGCTGACAATCAGAGATTATGACCTCCTTATAAATTCATGTAATTTTCAGATAGATTTTTTAAGCCAATTCAATTTATATTATATTTCAGAGAAACTATTATGCCAACTACCAAACTACTTTTTCTAATTGACCTCCTTATAAATTCATTCATGTAATTTTCACTTTTTTTTTATAAGCCAATTCAATTCATATATATTTTCAGAGAAACTATTATGGCAACTACCAAACTACTTTTCTAATTTATTCAGCACATTGTCTATACAATGAATCTCAAAGACACCAAGCTAAATATGCTCCTTGAAGAGGAGCTTTTAGCCTTTTAATATACGATTGTGATTTGGAAACCAACTTAAATACAAACACCATCAAATCATGCTTCAGAAGATAGATTTCCAACTTCTTCAAAACTAAAAATGTTTTACCTTATTCCGCTATCTCACTATGTTTGTTGCTTCTTTGTTGGTAGGTGTAGAAGATGCATCGATTCATATATGATTTCGAAAGAGGAAGGTGTAAACGAAGACGAACGGGAACACGTTTGCGGAAGTGAGATCGATTGAATGTAAAAACTAGTGGAAGAAGCTAGAGAATGTTACAAAGAATTTTTAAGAAAGTTCCACCAGAGCGATGTAAAATTTCTATACACTTGAACAATTTGAGGGACAATGTAAGTAATGCACAAAAAAGATAAAACATAAGTACAGAAAATCACACCCCTGTTTTTGTGATTGTCCTAACTCCTAACCAGAAATAGCAAGCAACACAGGTTCAATCCTAGAGAGTTCTTACACTTATGTGATTTCCTCGTAAGAATTTCCTCGTAAGAATCTCCTCCATATCTGATTCCTCGCTTCCGTCAAGAGCAAAAAAACGTTCAGGACTTGGCTCAAGGCTTCAGTGTAAGGGTCAAAATGACTCGGGGACTATAGTCTTGCAGAATTCATGAGGTTGGAAGTGGGATGAAGAGCTCCAAGATTCTGAATGTTTCCGGTACTTGAAAAATTGGAAGACAAATGAAAGATACATTCACATTCGGGTAAAGGGTATGTGTAAATGGAAGTTTTCCGGTTGATCTTCCTTACTCTAGGTACCATCATTCCCTTTCTATCGCTTTCCCCTAGCATCAGTTTCATCTCCTTTTTGAAAACTTCCCACCTGTTCAAGATTGAGAGGAAGTAATGTACCAACTATTAATTCAAAAGTGTAAAACTGCTCAATATAATATCTCTCTTGTGTGCATGAGAGCTTTGAAAGATGCCAAACTCTGTTTCTTGGTTCTTTCATGTCCACTTTCTCAAATTTATATATACTCGAGATAAAGAAAGGAAGATGTATAATATACCTCATCTCCATGTCCTGAAGAAGGAGAACGAGTTTGGGTTTGTCGGGTATGACAGTTTTTGCATGTCCACCGAAGAGGAATCTTCGATGGCCCATCAAAAAATGAGGAAAGTTTCCACCTTGGGTTGTCACAAACACTTCACTTAACAAGCTCACCGTGTAGTCCAAAGCAGCCATTCTGGAAGAATATCCCTAAACAATCAGAGTAACAAGAAAATATAAGACTTTTCTAAATGTTGCGCAACAGATTTGCTTAGACTAATGAAGTCAAAATAAAAACCTCAAATGGGGCAAGCTCCTCTGGAGTTGCAAGAGACTCTTTTGTGTAGAGACGGGGAAAAATTTCCTGGAGAGGAGCCAAATGTTTCTCAGGTTGGTAGATTCTTCCCGAGGCCAAATATATCGAAGTGTTGTTATCAAATCCCATACCACGGAGCATCATACCGACCTATGGTGATGTGAAAACGGCAATTAGAAAACAAAGCTCAATAAAATACTAAAGAAAATGCCCCTGATTGAAATGTGAATCTAAGTCAATGAATTTACCTCTAACGGGGTAAGGGGACATTTTCCATTAACTCGGTTAAGGTCGGGCCTAATGACACGATCTCTTCGTTTGAACTTTCCTTTCCAACTTTTCTGTCTAATCACATCCATTTCAGATTTCTCAGCTCTTCCACCTTCGTAGAGACAACATGAGAATGCCACCATGTCCTAAAAAACAAGGTTTTTTTAAGTCTTAGCATACTAATACTAAACTATTGAGGCAAAGTGATTCTGAAAATCAAAGACAAAAAACTACCTCCTCAAATCGAAGGTGGACCGAGACATACTTTCCTCCGGTCTCTGAGCTTTTCTCAACCATCCGATCGACTAACTTTTCAGCTAGTGTTGATATAGTTGAAGAAAACTTCAATGCTTTGTAATTAGCTATGCACCTCAAAAGTTGGATATACGGTGGAACACTCATCGCCAATCTATTTGCGAAAGGAGAAATCCGTATAACCCTGAATTGAATAAACAATGACACCCCCTCAAGAGACATATGAGTTAAGCCAAGTAAGAAGCTTCAAGTTTAAAGTCAACCTACCCATGCTCCTTCAAGACCGGATAAACTTCCCCATTATAGTAGTTCACCGTAGCCCAAGCTTGAACCCGAATAGTAGGGATACTTGAAACATTGTAACTAAAACGAGTCATTATCTCATCAGGAACATCTCTCACAATTTTCACATAACCTTCGAGGCTCGATATGAAATGATCTTCGTCATAGATATCACCAAAGTTGCTGCCACAAATATGCATTTTCTTAGTCTAATATCTTAACAAGACTTGAGAAAGTAATGAAAATTTTAATGGCTTATTTACCTTGAATCCTTCCAAATAGCGTGAAATTCAAACTGCGGTATGACTAAAACTGCGTTTAGGAGCCCCGCAACAGCCACAGCATTGCAAATCTAAAGCAATCGAAAAATACTTAGGATATGTTGGACTTTATGGCTTAAACCAAGTAAATTCAATAAGAGATCAAGAAGATGATACCGCGGAACGCTGCTGATTAAGACCGCCATTTGCCTCGACGATCAAATAACCACTACTAGGAGCAAGAGCAGATGATTCTGGAAAATTTCATCAAACACAAATTTTGTTCAATGCTCTTATGAATCAAAATTTGTTTAATGAACAAAATATCTAAACTCATGTGAACAATCCCAGAAACTGGGAAGCCATAGAACTCAATAGTTTAGTATCAGACACAATCTTACCTCTGTTAAGACCAAAATGTGATGAAACTGTTGAATTAGGACAAGGTTTTGGCATTTTTGGTCTTCTTTTGAATTTCCAGACAGAAGACAACTACCAAAATCAAGAAGCTTAAACAATTGAGACTTTACTATAAAAATGTCGAAGAAGAAGAAGAAGAGAAGGCAACAAACCTCAAGGGCAGTTGAATTGTCAGAGAGAATGTCATCTTTAAGTTTCCGGTAAATCTCGGGGCTCCGATAAACAGACCCGGGAACATAAACCCACCCGACAAGACCAGAGAAAGGACCGACACACATGAGAAGCCCAGAAGCGTAAATCATAGGAAGGAGAAGCAAGTAACGAAGATTTCTCCGGAGAGAGAAAGAGGAAGCTCTGAGTAAAGTTTGCCGCCGTTGACGACGGAGGACACGGCGGTTTGGAGATAAAGGTGGGCTTGGAGACTCACTTCGGCAGCCATTATCGTTACTTGAAACTACACCATTGTTGCCGCCATTGGGCTGGTGGTGGATTTTGCTTTTCATCAAGCACCAACAAAAAAAAAAGTTTCGATTTTTTTTGGTGAGGAGAGAGAAAGATCTGGTTTTTGGGTTTTTGAGACTATGAGCTTGAGAAAGAGAGAGTAATGTTAATCACAGAGATCTCATGGAGACGATGGATCTGTGGAAACTTTCAGTAACATTAACGAAGTTTGTTTCTGGTCTGACGCATAAGACAGTGAGATTCTTAAAGGGACGAAACATGATTACACTAAGAATAAATTAGTCTTTTAAAGATTTTTTCTGTTGTTGGTCATTTCATTTTTCTTTTAATTATAGTTTTGTCAAGGTCTCTTATTCCAACAAAATGGAATTTGATTAGGGGAAAAGTTACTTTCAATATTGAATTGATATATTTTATGTTCTGGTATAAGTTTGTATGTTAATTTAAAACATATATATACATGTAATTTTTGTTAATTTACTCATGGATGGGTAAAGTCTTATATTCTGGTTATTTTTAATCATATTAAAATTGCTGTTTTATTTGTAGTAGTGAATTGTTTTTTAAGAAAATGAAAAAATATATAAATGATAAAATTGACGATTTGATAAAAAAAAAATTAATAATATTTTTTCTTAAGAAAGTTTTTTTTTTCACGATGTAGACGATGGACGTTAAACGATCTTGTAGATATACATTTCGAATTTTAATTATATAACTCTTAGACAATTTTTTTAACATGATGTGTATATTTTGGTTAAAAATAATGTTTATTGATAAGATTAAATTCTACATTTTACCATTTTCTAACTTAACATTACTTTTCTTATACTGGACATAGAGATATTTACGATACATTGGTTAATTTCGTGGAAGTTGTTTGTTGAAAAACGTCTTCGTTAATAGATTTTTGTGGAGTTTATTCGTCGGAATCCATCAATATATGATATTTAGTTCCCATATGTTGGCTTTTGGGTATCATGAAATACTCATGAGTCAATCAATAGTAACAATGGTTTTCTTACGATTTTTTAACATTCAGGTTCAGGTTAGAATAAGGCAATGCGACTGATCAAAAAACCAAAAAATCAAAGGTAGATTGAATATCTGGAAGGTTATATATTGTAAAAGAAATTATTTTAGTCTAACTAAGTATAAGTGTACAACTATCCTAATTCTATTATATCATCGGTATCATAATTATTTCAATTTTTATATAATCCACTATACAAAAAGCCCCAAATATAGAATATGAGAGTATTAGAAAACTGAAAAATAAGATTGATTTAGGTCCGTCAAGAAAAGTGGTCACATAGTGCATATAGATCGGTGGAGAGATAAGGCACCATATATTATTTTGTAATATCTTTTTCCCAACAAAATATTTCTTTGTCTTTTTCAAAAAAAAAAACAAAATATTTCTTTGTCCTTTTTTGCTATAAGTAGACATATTTTATTTACACATAGCTAGTAGATTTTAAGCAAACCAAAAATACCTACTTGATTTTAGTAGATGTCAATTAAAAGAATATCGATAAGGTATCAATTAGGCCATCTGAAGACTATATCTGAAACAACATATAACGGTAAACAAGCAAATAATTACTATTTATTACCCATGTGGTTTAATTTAAGTGTCAAGTATGTGATTATTCTTTATCAAAAAAAAAAGTATGAGCTTATTAAAATTGTAGAAAAATATGTAATTGATATACTTATTAATGTCATGTTATTATTGTAACACTTTTTACATAATTACCAACAACAATTAACTAAAAAAGAAAAGAATAAAACTAAATTGGAAACTTAAATTGCGAAAACCTTTTAATCGAGTCGATGACCAAATCTTTTGCATTTAGACTAAGTTTGAGGTATAGTTTTCATAAAATAGAAATTATGGTAGATTGATGGAACAAACTTTTAAAATATTTTTATCGTGATGTAAATACTACTGTCTATCGTATTTGAATCACGATGAATATAACCGTTTAATGATACAAATGTATGTTGTAAATTGTTTTATAAAACTTTTTGTCGTATTTTTGAATAAAAAAATATTATTTTCTGCTTAATTATAAAATCGTTATTTGTGTTAGTATAATAAAAGATACTGTATAAATTGTAGTGATAATAATACCAAGATGTCAAAAGAATATACTATATGCCAAACTTAATATAAGGATGTAGCTGAAAATTCGACGATTAAAATCCACATGGGACCGTGATTTTATGAGTGGTCATTAACTGTTTTCCTCTTCTAGTTAAAGCTCAGCCGTTTGATTTGAGCAAACGTGGGATCCCCAATAAAGTGGAGAAAGTGAGCAAAGCTCATGTTTCTTCTTCCTCTTCTTATTCTTATTCTTTTTCTTAGCTTTAGATTACCTAAACTATCCTTTAATCTCATCAAGAAAAGTCGACTTTTATGAGGGTAATTAAGTCCATCAAACCTTAAAAACAGCTGGATAGTGACGAGAAGCACGCTAATTGATTTCTCTTAATTCGTGAAAACACTTTTCTAAAACCCCACTTGCAACAAGCTATTACTCTTTCCGTTTCATAAAAAGTGTCATTTTAACACATTTCATACAAATTAAAAAAACATTAGATTATACATATATATATACACCCCTAATTAATAAGTGATTAATGATTTAAATTCAATAAAAAGTAGCTTTAAGTTAAAGGTAAATTAGGAAATTCTGTGTAAAAGTCACATTGAAAATGTAGAATGACACTCTTTGTGAAACAAAAATCAAACTCTAGAATGACACTCTTTATGAAACAAAGGGAGTATTATTTTAACTAATAGTATCGTAACTTCTTCGTTTTTGAATAATTATCCAGCTTGCGAAATGTGAATGTGTGTACAAACATGAAACATCCATGCATGCATGTTGGTGTCTCATGCTGACGGATATATGTGTTATGTGTGTACGCATGTGTTTCTATTTTAATTTGTGTTATGATTTTGACTTAAGCATGCGTGATCGTCGGGATTATTATGTGTATATCACGTGATAGTGTGCTTTTTTTAGTAAGTTATATCCTTAATTTTAAAAGAAAAAAAGTTTGAAGACTTCATTTTTATTTAATTTGTAAGAAATAAATTACAATAAATGAGAATTTTTGCATTGTGTCGTGAAGTGATGATAAATTTTTAAGCTAATAAGAATCGGTCTATACATACACAACTTGATACGTACTACGTAGCATTCAGATTTCAGACACCTTAAAGAAAATTATAGACCAGAATTTTTTTTGCATAAGTGGTAAAAGGTAGTCTTCTGCAGAAGCCCAAACTCTTTGTCTAGATTAACAAATGCTAACTGTGGTAAAAGTGGTAAAAGGTAGTCTTCTGCATTACTCTTGTGCAGAAGCCCAAACTCGAACAACGGATTTGGAAAAGAACAACGATATCGTCGTTACTTCGTCTAACTCCATTAGCCTTTGTGTTTATGTTGAGTGGATGGATTGAAATTATTTTTATAATTTATGCTTCCATGTTTAATTTTTTTTGCCATGAAACCATTTATATAGGATTATAATCGAATAAACTTAAATTGTTTTTTTATTTTATGAAATATTTATATTCTTAACAAAAAAAAAAAACAAATACTAACTGGAGAATCAAAAAGTTTTTGGAAAGACAAACTTATTTTAGTTTCTCGGAACCTAATTTCACTAACATTGAGAAAACCACCTCACCGTGGGCATGTGAAGCTTTCTATGTCAACAAAAAAGCTGAGCGAGTGAGAGTCTTGTAATCATTTGAGTCGTGTAATCCTTTGAGTGTTTTAATAAAATCTCCCCCTTTTGTATAATTCTATCCTCTTCTATATACTTTCCTTTCATATAGCCTTTGTCCATACATCTGATCCTAAATACCTCCTTCGTGGTTGTACCCACTATGTGTCTGTAAATTTGGTATCAGAGCCATGGCAGTCTAAGCTTTAGCTCTTACCTTCCTAAGTCGTAATACATCCTTGTGTCGTTTTTCTACCATATGCTAGTATAGAAAGTATGCTCTGTGGTTGCCATGTTTATGGATCCTCCACATCAGAAATCTGACTAAGCTAGATAAAAGCGTATAAAGAAAGAGATCTGTGAGGTCATAGTGGCTCGAAGTACCTTGAGGCTCCAATGGTTGTTAAAGAGTTTTGCCTCGGTTTGCGTAGCCAAGTACCTCTTGATTAATTTCTTTATATACTTAGCACTTGTTGAAATAAGAAAAACGATTCAAGGTTTGTTATTACTTCAAGGGTAGGGTAAGATATAAAGCATTCTGTTATGGTTTCTGGCCTCTACAAACATTATGGAAAGTTCATCTTCTTTAATGAAATCCTCTTCTTTCAGAAAATCAAACGCTAGTAAAATAGATTACTTATATGAAGTAGAATATGTAAGTGATGAGAGTAAAGTTCCTATTACCCAACTTCCTTTATTAAACCCCTATAAAGCTTTCACAAAACCCAACTCTACTTTCCCAAAAGTCATAAAAAGTGTCTTTGGTCCGCACAAGCATGCGGCGAGAGAACTTGTTCTAGCCTCCCAGCTTGAACAACATCTTGTCCCGGCAACTGAAACAGAACAGATGATTCCTCTCCGACTCAACGAGGGGATGATTCACCAGTGGAGAACTCATGGCTACACTCACCTTCACTATGGAGCAATCCGCCTAGCTTTAACCCTCCATGGAAGGAAAGGTCTACCTGTTGTAGCAAGAGTCGCTCTTCTCGACACCAGATACAGGGAATACCAGCACGCATGCATCGCAACAATCCAGACCACTCTGAACGCTGGTACTGTCTTTGTCACACTATTTCCAAACTTCAACGTGGCGCTTGAAGATCCCCAGATCTACCAGAATATGCAGATCCAGCTCCAAATCACAGGTGCTCCACAAATCGGAAATACTTATGCAGCAACACTCCACCATCAGATGGCGTACAGAGTTCAAAACCATGCCATGGATCTCAGTCTTCCTAGAGATACAGAGGATGCTTTGCTCATTCAACTGGAATCACAGCATAGCCCTTCATGCATCCATATTCCGAGACAAATCCCTAGAGAAGAATTGGTTAAATTACTTCCTGAATCATGGGTGACGAACTATGAGAAACTCCATGATAGAAGTATTCCAA